CTACCACTAACTACTAATAGATACCAAGAACTACCATTTACCACTAGTAACTACTAGCAACTACCGAACACTACTAGTAACTACCACTAACTACTAGTAACTACCAGTAACTACTAATAACTACCACTAACTACTAGTAAATACCAAGAACTACTATTAACTACTAGTAACTACTAGTAACTACCGAGAACTACTAACTACCGCTAACTACTAGTAACTACCAATAAATACCACCAACTACCAGTAACTACTAGTAACTACCGACAACTACCAGTAACTACTAGTAAATACCAGTAACTACTAATAACTACCACTAACTACTAGTAAATACCAAGAACTACTATTAACTACCAGTAACTACTAGTAACTACCAGTAACTACTAGTAACTACTAGTAACTACCAGTAACTACTAGTAATCAACTACTAGTAACTACTAGTAACTACCACTAGCTATTAGGGAGAAGACACAATACTACATATTACATATTACATATTACATATTACATGATACTACATATCACTTGATCCTCTGCCTGCAGTGGTAATGAAGGAATGTTTCAATTTACTAACTCCTGTGTTGACTAACATAGTGAATACATCTTTATCTACTGGAGTTATGCCTGATGTCTTGAAGATTGCAGCTGTGACACCGACTTTAAAGAAACATAATGCTGATTTCACTAAATATGAAAGTTTTCGACCTATTTCTAATTTGAAGTTTGTGTCCAAGCTTGTGGAAAAAGCGGTATGTGTCCAGCTTACAGACTATATTACATCTAATGGTCTTTCGGAAACGTTTCAATCCGCATACAAGTCATTTCACTCCACTGAAACGGCTCTACTGAGGGTTCAAAATGACATTCTTTGTGCTTTAGATCGTAATGAGTCGGTCATACTGGTACTTTTGGATCTGTCGGCGGCGTTTGATACGGTGGACCATACTCTTCTAGTGACAAGGCTGTCTACTTGTTTTGGTTTTCAAGGAACTGTGCTTAAGTGGCTGAAATCATACCTGTCTTCACGTAAGCTGTTTGTTAAAGTTGGGAATAGTCATTCTTCACAACGTGCATTGAAGTGTGGTGTCCCTCAGGGATCAGTTCTGGGCCCTTTGTTGTATTTGTTATACACATCACCTATTGCGGACATAATAAATGATCATGGACTATCATACCATCTATATGCTGACGACACCCAATTATATATTACCTTTAAATCTACCAGCTTGAATGACATCCAACAAGTGAAGTTGAGAGTGGAATGCTGTGTGAGGGACATTGATGAATGGATGATAAGAAACTATCTTAAACTAAACCAGGACAAAACGGACCTTGTAGTCATCAGTTCCAGATTCCATCCTATGCCTGACATCGGTCACATTACTGTTGGTTCTGAGTGCATTGCACCTCGTGACTCTGTTCGTAATTTAGGGGTTCAGTTTGATAGCATATTTAGTTTTGAGGAGCACATTAAGAACATTTGTAAATCATCATTCTATCATATGAGAAATATTGCTAAAATCCGCAAGTACTTAAGCCAAGATACATGTAAAATCTTAGTCCATGCATTTATTAGTTCGAAACTTGATCACTGTAATTCCTTATTACATGGCCTTCCTAAGTATCTGTTAGCTAGACTACAGGCAGTTCAGAATGCTGCAGCTCGTGTTGTCACATTGACACCGAGGCATGTTCATATAACTCCTATTTTAATTAATCTTCATTGGTTACCAGTTGAGTTTAGAATAACTTTTAAAGTCCTTTTATTGGTATACAAGGCCCTTCATGGCCTTGCACCTTCTTATATTTCTGACCTTTTGAATTTTAAAACATACTCTAGGTCATTGCGTTCTTCATGTAAAGAATACTTAGTGGTTCCAAGAAGCAGATTGAAAACATATGGAGACAGAGCTTTCTCTATTGCAGGACCTAAATTGTGGAACGATTTACCTCTAGAGATTAGGAAATGTGCTTCAGTGGCGACTTTTAAGCAATCCCTTAAAACTTTTTTATTTAAGTTAGCATATAGGTTATGAGATTCCTTTTGTTTTGAGATGTTTTTGATTTATATAGTAGATAACTTAGGCTATATTTGAATTATATTGTATATTGTAGATATTTTGTATTTTAGATTTTTTATATTTTATTTTGTAATTAGGTAGCGCTTTGGACAATTATTGGATTTTAGCGCTATATAAATAAAATTATTAATTAATTAATTATTATTACACAGAGTGTATATTACCGGTGCACTTGTGGCTTTCTACCATGAAGTATATGCCTTGAAAACATTTACAAATTCAAAGTAACCCTTTTTGAGAATAAAATTACTAACAATGCAACAAACGTCCCTTAACGATACTCAAAGGAACCCTTACCCTA